AGAAGACCCGGAAACAACAGAGAGGAGTACCAGCACACACATCGCCAAGTCGGGTTCCCGGCCGACATCCAGACTGCAGCATCCCTGTGAAATCCCGAATGAGGTCCGTCTGGACTCCCAGCGAGGAAAGGATCCCGGGCTCTGCGTCCACCCCAAGGGTGAGACTTCACACTGAGGTTATGGGGGCTCCCATTTATAATCCCAGACTGCACAATGATATCATCATCGGCTCTGTGAAATCATCGCAGCTCGAGGTTTTTCCCTAATAGCTGCAATGCTGTTTGTTTAATTTTGAGAATCAGAAGATCCCTTAGACTGGCGCCTAGCACCCAGATGCTAAGAAATTCCAAGACCCACTCGCTTTCATATCTAAAGTGCTCCTTGACTTGCTGGCAATGATTGTCATGCTTGGCACGCCTCGGACCCTGGACGGCCAGACGGCTCATTTCAGGTGACAGTGGGTGCAGGCTGGGGGGAGGGGGGTGCACTGACGCCGCTGGGCCACCCGCCGCTCCCAAGGGCAGCGTCTCCGCAGCCTGTCTCTCTACGAGGCTCAGGCGCTGACGTGGGCACAGCAGAGACAGCGGACCAGAGACAGGCTGAGAATTTGGGTCACGCGTTAGATTAGAGGGAGCCCAGCTCCGGATGACGCCGCCGGGAGGCCAGTGGACACCTCACCGCTCTCCACCTGAACGTCAGCATCAGCCGGGTGCTGGCCCCACGTCTCAGCAGGGAGCACGGGCGGCTACAGAAACCTTCGTGCAGTTCAGTCGCTCAGTCGTGTCCGACTAGTGCAACCCCATGGACTGCAGCATGCCAGGCCTCCCTGTCCATCACCAACTCCCGGAGTTTACTCAGACTAATGTCAATTGAGTCGATGATGGCATCCAGTCATCTCATCCTCTGTCGGCCCCTTCTCCTCCTGTCTTCAATCTGTCCAGCATCAAGGTCTTTCCAAGTGAATCAACACTTCGCATCAGGGGGCCAGAGTATTGGAGCTTCAGCTTCAGCATCAGTCCTTCCAATGAACAGTCAGGACTGATTTCCTTTGGGATGCACTGGTTGAAACCTTAGCTGCCTCTTTTTCTCCAGTACCAGCGGCAGGATGGAAGGTCACCTGGCATGCATCCATGACGTGGTCTGAATGCCCCTTCTCCTGAACAGGAGCTGTCTGCTCATTGCTGACCCCTGGGGGCAACTGAACAGGCTCAGGGAGTGTGGATGGTCAAGCACTTGTAGAGTCCTCTGACCACAGACCCTCTAATGCAGACACAGTGGCCCGGGGACGGACTTCTCCCGGTCAGGTTCCACGGCCCTCCCCTCATCTGCTGGTTTCTGGAGGGCTCAGGTTCGGGGGTCTCTGAGGCCTGCTCCCCCTCCCTGCGGCTGCTGTAGCCTCTGCTTCGCTCTGTTCTCAGGAGCAGGGCCACTGTGCAGAGGAGACAGGGAAGGTCCGCTCATCCTTCCAGTCCTGGAGCAGACAGCGCTCTCCCCGAGGGCCTGGACGGGGCGGGCGGAGGGCGGACCCAGAGAGCAGGCAGCCAGTGCTCCCCACCGGCGAGACCACCGAGTGCGAGCGCCCGCCTCCGATGGCAGCTGCAGCTCCGAGAAGGCGCGGGACACGAGACCACACGGGCGCACAAAAACACACACACACAGGCGGTCTCCATCAGCCCTTTATTTGTGGACCTTCACCAAGGTCACTGGGGTTTCAGCTCTTCCAGACATCGGGGACAGTGGTGAGGAGCACCGGGGCACCTCCAGCACCCCGTCACGGCGAGCAGAAGCGGCCGCAGAACAGGATGGCCCCGGTCTTGCCGTGCTGGATGAAGAAGAGGAAGGGCCGGTCTGCACAGAACTGGGGCACGATGCGCAGGCAGCGCATCACGGGCCCGGACCTCGTGGCGGCCGTGGCCTCCGTGCCCTCCTCGGTGACCTCCACGAAAGACTTGTGAACAAACTTGGACAGGTGTAGGCCTCGCCCGGACGACATCCCGGTGAAGTCGGCACGGGCTGTGTCGAAGGCGTCGGTCATGCCCAGGTCTCCGAGGACGCCCTCCATGTTGTAACTCTCCTCCAGCGTGAATCGGGGCAGGAACACCACCACGTCATCCTCGGCCAGCACGTCCGGCTTCGTCCATTCGATGAATTTCTCATAGGTCAGGGCCTTCTCCACCTGGAGGAGAAGGTAGAAGATCTCAGGGTCTGCAGCAGCACTGCCCCAGGGACTGTCCGCTGTGACCCACACTCTGTGCCCTGCGGGCCCGGGGCGGCCTGCCGGCTGCACACGAGTTCCCGGAGCCAAAAACTGGCAGGGACTGGACGAGACCCCGGGCCCTGGGGCCACGGCTTCCCACTTACCGTGTTCAAGTCAGTGGTTTTACTGGGCAGCAGGATGACCATGTTGATTTCTTGGCCGACGTAGGGAAGCACCAGAATCTGGGTACTTATCTCCCCAATGTAGGTCATTTTAAAGGTGGACTTCATGAACATCATTTGCACAGGTTTCTTCACGTTCTATAAAGGAAAGGGATAAACCTTAAGTGGAAATGAGACCCGTGGACATGCTGGACGAATCATCAGAGCCGGCCACCTGCGCACACACTCTGTCTTGTCTTCCAGACCCAGCCCAGCTCCGCGTCGTCAGCTGTCTGTACGGCTCCAGCTCTCACCCCGGGTTCCCAGCGCTCAAGCCTCAGGCTTCCGTTCTCCTGCTGACCCAGGAGGGCTCCGCACGGACATTCCCAGCAGGACCTCTCCCCGGCTCCTGCCTACCTGACATCTACATCTGGACGCAAAGGAGCCGCCATGTTGGCTCCCACACTGGCGGCTCGTGTTCCCCCCCACACCTGCTCCATCTATACTTTCCCGTCTCTGCTCAAGGCGACACCACTCATCCCACAGTCAAGCCCTGGAGTGTTGGGCCCCTGTCCCTCCCACCCCACAGCTCACCCATGAACAAACCATGTTGGCTCTATTTTAACGACAACAGGGCTTCTCTATGGCTCAGGGGTAAATAATCCGCCTTCCAATGCAGGAGACACAGGCTCCATCCCTGGTCTGGGAAGACCCCGCAGCCCAGGGGCTTCTAAGCCCTCAGGCCACAGCTACTGAGCCTGGGCTGAGAGCCCGGGACCGCAGCTCCTGAGTCACCGGCCTGGAGCCCGAGCTCAGCCCCAAGAGAAGCGCCAGCAGGAGGAGCCCAGCACGGAGCCCAGAGGGCCTCCGCCACGGCAGCTGCAGGAGAGGCTGCGGCCAGAGGACCCGGCACGGCCGCAAATAAACACATGCAATTAATGAAACATACAATACATTCTGATTTGTGCTTCCTACCCCACCACGCTCAGCCCAGCCTGGGTCATCAGGAAAACTTCCGAGTAACCTCCCTGGTCCTTCACCCGGGCCCGAGGGGCTCTGGGAGATCAGAGCCCCTGTGAGAGGCCCCGGGCTCTGCGAGAGCTCAGAGGAGGGACACAGGAGCCAGGAACCCGGGCTGGGGAGACCGCTAGGGAGGCTTCGGGACGGCCCTGCAGAGAAAGGCGTCTGTGCTGGTAACTGCTGATGGGATGGGGCGGACGGTAGGATCCAGGCCACGGAGCTTCATAGCCACGGTCTCGAGTTTGACCTGGATCTCGGGAGTTCTAGGAGGCCCAGAGACCTGCGAGCTGCTCCGTGGGATGTGTGATACAAGACCGAACACCCGCGGCACGGACCCCCTGATGATACAGCAGAGCAGGAGCGGGGGGAGGAAGCCAGGGTTTGCCCGGATCCACCTCTGGGCCGCCACGGCCACGAGAGGCACGGGTCCTTGAGGTCAGCCTGCTCGCACGCTCCGTAAAGCAAGGGGACCCCAGGGACTGTTTCCAGGAACCTCCTTCGCTTTATGAAACATTCTTGTTCACCTCACTAACTTAGAATGGCCTTTCCACGGTGTGCTCTTTGTTAAATTGTTCAGCCCAGTCTCCTTTGAAGTAGACGGCATTCACGAGAACCAGACGAGTCATGGGGTCAACTGAATTTGCAGCGAGCAAGTCTCTAATTTTACCTGCAAAGCAGAATTAAAGAGCCAGTGAGCGAGCAGGGTTTCCTGGGGGAGGTGCTGGGCACAGTATTTACTGGCCCGTCCCCTGGAGGAGTCAGGCACTGACCAGAGGGCTCACTGTCCCCCAGACAGCCATGGACAGCGAGTTGTCTGCTCACTCGCTAAGCTGTGTCTGACTCTCTGTGACCCCATGGGCTGCCGCCCACCAGGCTCCTGCATCCATTGGATTCCCTGGCAAGAATACTGGCTCAGGTTGCCATTTCCTTCTCTAGGGATCTTTCTGACTCAGGGATCCAACCCACCTCTCCTGCATTGGAAGGTGGATTCTTTACCATCGGACCCACCAGGGAAACCTGTACAGGCAGCCTGGCCCCTAATGCAAAATCAGCGACCAAAACCTTAAAATCTCTGCTCACAAAGATACCATGAGTTGCATAAAACACATACAATGAAGAAATCATAAGAGCAGGGTAATTCACAGTGACAGAAAAAGGAATGTTCAGTCTACAATGTAGGGGACTGTCCTGAGGGGAGAGGTTGAAGCCAGTGTGGAGAGCACGAGAATGAAGAACCACAGGTGGACCGAGGCTTGACCGAGTGACCTGCAGTGATGCTCAGCGACCCGCAGAGCGTGAGGTCCGCTGGACAGGCAGGGAGGTGGAGCCCGCATCCAGAGTTTCCCTTCCGCCCTTTGTGAAAGGCAGACTAGATGAACATTAACTGCACCAGCAAAAAATCAAAGTGTGTTTGCTCTGGAAGAGGTGCACCAAATACTGATGAGGAGGGGGGAAGCTAGAGAAATTGATTCCTGATTATATTTCAGGAGTGCATTTTGAAAGTTACAGTTATTCATAGGAAAAAGCCATTCCTGTTTACATTTGCTGGTCTTGGGAAGGAACTGATGGGTAATGAGACTGATTCAAATACTACGCAATCAGAAGTACAGGCATGCCCTCACCTTCTGTCTTCTCGGCTACCCAGGTGTTTATGTGCTTCCTGGATTCCTCCGTAGCGCTGACAAAGTCCAGCTCTTCCATCTCTGCTTGGTAGAACATGCGGCAGGCATCTTTGAAAGACTAGGAGAGACGGAGTGACAGAATCACATGGCTACAGACACAGACCACGCCAACAGCTCACTTCTTCACGGCGCCAAACCTAAACACTGATCATTTGAAGGTTCCTTGTGGAATCTACAAACGATGGGAGGAATTAACCTTCAATCCAGTTTCTCAGTTTTCAGCTAACTTGAATAAATGACAGTAAAATCACAGGCTTCCCAGGTGGCACTGTGGTAAAGAATCCGCCTGCCAGTGTTGGAGCTGTGGGCTTGATCTCTGCCTAGGGAAGATCCGCTGGAGAAGGAAATGACAACCCGCTCTAGTATTGTTGCCTGGACAATCCCATGGACAGAGGAGCCTGGTGGGCTATAGATCATGGGGTCCCAAAGTGTTGGACACGACCCAGCACCTGAACAACAACAGACACACATGTTGTGAGATGCAGAGACTTTCTCTATGCACAGGGGACAAGCCCTTATACTGGGCATGGGGACCAGGGCATGGAAGAGAGTGTGGTAGGAATCTGGCTTTGTCTGCATTTTTATATGATTAAGAACACACTCACAGATTAGTGAGCTGTTTATTAAAAATTTTTAAAAATCATGAAGGCACTGCAATTAAATAGAATCTGAGTAAAAAAGACAAAAGCTTTAAAAAAAATTCTGCATAGGAAAAGATAATCAAAATATTTACATGTATAAAAATATTGAACAAGTCTCACAATGCACAGAAAACTTCTAACATATGAAAAACAACATCAGAAATATTCTATTTGATCACTTCTTTGTTTGGGCCAACTCATCTGCAACTGTGGTGTGATCCGTGTTAGTTCTCTGACAATCATCTCATCGAGGCTTCACGAACACGTGAACAGTGCCTCCTCTTACAGGCAATGACCAGGAAGCGTGAGGTCATGACTGGAGTCCCACACCCCGCCCACCGTGTGGGTCTCAGCGCATAGGGCCTCAGCTGCACCACAAGGCCCAGCTCCCGCCTCCACCCGACCTCGGTCTCTATCTGTTTCGGGAAAACCGAGTATGACTTACCGAGAGGAAATCATAAGTCTTCTCTCCAAAGAGCCTTTTGGCGGTTCTGAGTAAGTACTGTGTGTCGGGCCTGTTAACTTCGCTGAGAAGGTTCTGAAAACCCTGGTGGACATCTTCACCTCCGCCACTGCTCGTGCTTAGAGAGAGTGTCTGAAATCAAAAACAGATGAAAGCTCACAACTGCAGGACACCCTGACTACAGGAAATGGATAGAACACTGAAGTCAGCCTAGGAACCGCACTGATCCTCCCCGAAGCTTAAAGCAAGACTCATCCAAATAAAGGCACAAGGCCTCTGGGAGCCCCCCAGCCTGCCTCCCGGGGGGGTCAGATGGCGACGGCGGGCAGAGGAATGCCCCTCGGCAAGCCCAGTGCCCTGCGCTCGTGGTCTGCCTGCAGACAGGGCCGGCAGACAGGCCTCCCGTCTCTGCACAAACAGGCCACGGCTTTGGGTCTGGACTGGCCTCGGGACGGGCTCCGACCGGTGGACACAGGAGAAGTGGCTCTTCCGGGCCCGGGCCTTCATAAAGGCCTGGCAACTCCACGTTCCCTGTCTTTCCCCTGTTGCCAGGGTGCAGAAACGCCGAGCCATCCTGCTGGGGCCTCGTGACAATGCGGGAGAGCGGTCACACAGAGGAGAGCTCCTCGCGGGATCGGGGCCGCTCCTGTATCACGAGGCGCCCAGCGGGCACCGTGCGGCCAGGACGCAGAGTCTGAGGCCCGGTCCCGGTCTTTCCTGGTCGTGGGTGGTTTGACGGGGTCACAGAGAGAAGGTCCAGACAGCTGAGGCCAGAGGGCCGGGGGGCACCACTGCTGGAGGAGAGGAGCTCGGGCGGGAGCCCTGGAGAGACGCCCGTCCAGGGCGGGAAGTCCAGCCCTCCCCTCGGAATCGGAACCTGCACAGGAGGTTCCCAGAGAGACGGCAGCCCCTTCAGAGCCTGGGAGAGCGGGAGGGGAGTCAGTGACGAGCTCCAGAGGGGACTGCTCCCTTTCAGCCACAACTTAAAGGGAACACGTGCGTCTCCTGGTGGCTCAGGGTAAAGGATCCACCTGCCAGTGCAGGAGACTCAAGACTCGTGGCTTCGATCCCTGGGCCGGGAAGATCCCCTGGAGGAGACCATGGCAACCCACGCCAGTGTTCTCTGTGGAGAATCCCATGGACAGAGGCGCCCGGAGGGCTAGAGTCCACGGGTCACAAAGCGCCGGACACGACTGAGCGTGAGCACCCTGTATTTGCATCCTAACACTTGCTGGGTGCACAGTGCAAATGCTTCTCACTCCCAGCCTCTCCAGCTGGCAGAGGACCCTGAAAGTGATGGCCTTAGGGCAAAGGTGAAACTCAAGGCCCAGGCTCAAGAAGCAGGATCAGGACTCTGGTAAACCTGGAGACCCTCTGGACCCCAGGCCCTGGGAGGGTTAAGGGCACCCCCATGAGGGAGGGCTGTGACCCCCACGGGGAGAGGTCAGCGCCCCGCCGCCACTGTGGCCCAGGAGCTGACGTCCACCCCCTGTGCAGCCCGCCCGGGGCTGGCTCCGGGCGTCTCGGCAGGACGGGCCTCGGCCAGCAGGGCCTTGGGCAGCGGGTCCGAGCAGAGGCTCGATGAATGCTTGTTCATTCAAGCCTGTCCTGCTGGAATCAGGTGCTGCACAGTCAGGAGCCCCAGGCCACCAGCCAGAGAGACACTGGATGACACGCCCAGGGACTGGGCAGGTGGGGAGCGAGGCCTGTCTGTCGAGCAAGGCCTCTGATATTCGGATCTCAGACACCGTATCACTGCCTAAAGAAACACCGTAGGCCGCCACCCAGAACCGGCTTCCCGAATGTACCTGGGACATCTGGGCTGCGGTGTTGCCCCTGGCCCCCATGAGGACCATGGCCAGGGCTGAGGAGATGCTTAGGGGAGAGATAAACACATTTTTCGAGTTGTCTTCACCCAGCTTTTTCAGAAGGGTCAAGGCAAAGGTGCTGTTTGCTTTTGATAGCGCATCCATGGTGGCGAGTCTGAAAGGAGGGATTTAAAACCAGTGAGGAAGCTGTGGTACATATACACCATGGAATATTACTCAGCCATTAAAAAGAATTCATTTGAATCAGTTCTAATGAGATGGATGAAACTGGAGCCCATTATACAGAGCGAAGTAAGCCAGAAAGATAAAGACCATTACAGTATACTAACACATATATATGGAATTTAGAAAGATGGTAACGATAACCCTATGTGCAAAACAGAAAAAGAGACTCCTATGTATAGAACAGACTTGTGGACTCTGGGAGAAGGCGAGGGTGGGATGTTTCAAGAGAACAGCATTGAAACACGTATATTATCTAGGGTGAAACAGTTCACCAGCCCAGGTTGGGTGCATGAGACAAGTGCTCGGGCCTGGTGCACTGGGAAGACCCAGAGGGATTGGGTGGAGAGGGAGGTGGGAGGGGGGACCGGGATGGGGAATACATGTAAAAAAAAAAAAAAAAGATACACTATGGTTGTGATAAAAAATAAATAAATAAATAAATTAAAAAAAAAAATAAAACCAGTGTCACGTAAATGCAAGCCACAGGTCGACCACGTCTCATATGCTCTGTTGTGATAACTGACGCTCTGCTTCGATGAGCAAACAGGTACATGCACAAAACTCGGTGTCCTCGGGGTTTCCCCTGCTGACCCTGCCCAGGCCCTGTCACCCGGCTCGGGACAAGGGCCTTGGGACGCACCTACGTCCACCTGCAGGGCCCAGCTTCGGAGGTCACAGCCTCGCCACGGAGGGCGTCTGGTCCAGAACCGGACACTGTAGGGAGGGGCGGGGGTGCGCGAGCATTCAGGGCCTTTGTGTGTGTGGTGGGAAGGGATGAGAGCTGAGAGACCCCAGCTCTTCACCAGAAACCAGCGTCCGTGATAGACACCGACCTGGGAAAAGAGAGCAGGTGAGCCAAGGAAAGGGCCCGAAGCCTCAGGGCGTGCAGGCTGGCAGCCCCGCTCCGGGCCCTGCGTCAGCTCCCTGCATGAGGATGGGGATGCACCAGGTAATCTGTGCTCCTGGTGGGGTGCAGGGCAGCTCACCCCAATACACTCCACTGTAGCACAGTGATTGCTCTGAATTAAGGAGACTTCAGAAACAGCTGTTGCAAAAAGCATCTCTGCCCTTCTTCTGTTCCCCCTGAAAGCTGAAAATAAATCTCCATGTGCAAATACCCTCCCTGTACCAGGAGGTAGAGAGACATCTTTACCGCCAAAGAGGGGAACGCAAGGCTGAAAAGGCTGAACAAGAAACCAGCAAACCCTGTCACTCCACGGACTTGCTACCCAAGCAAAACCCCCTTGATTTGTCAGATCTTCACACACACAGAGAAAGCCGCCTGCCTTGTCCCTTCTTGAGTCTTGTATCTTCGAGGTTCCCATACTCACAAAATTCACTGGGGTTGGTTTTCTGCTATTGATTTGTCTTAGGTCAATTTAATTACTAGACCAGGCAGGAAGATCGTACAGGAGAGGAAACACTCCCCCCACACATTCTCTTCCATCACTTATATCCAGTTTGGTTAGTAGCTAAGTCATGTCCGACTCTTTTGTGAATCCATGGACTACAGCATAGCTGGCCCCTCTGTCCATGGATTTTCCAGGCAAGAATACTGGAGTGGGTTGCCATTCCCTCTCCAGGGGGTCTTTCCGACCCTGGGATTGAACCCGAGGCTCCTGCGTTGCAGAAGGATTCTTTCCAGTGAGCCACCAGGGCAGGCAGTAATACCCAATACCTTAACAGTAGTACAGAAAAAAGCAGAAGTTCACTTGTCTTCAAAGGCCACAGCGAGGCTGGTAATAGTTCTCTTTCTCCACTGACAACAGTTCCTGATGGTCATTAAAGGTGAGAGCATGCCCACTCCCTGTAAAATCGCTAAACTGAACAGGAAGGAAAGAAGCAGTGAGGCCCAGAGGTTTATTCAAGATACTCTGACGGCAGGAAATACATCAGTCGTGAGATAGGTGAACAGTCCACCATGATACAGGCCCCAAAGTCAAACAGGAAGCGATGCTTCGTGCACTCCCCGGGGCACTGAGACAGAACACCAGAGGCAGAACTCCGGAGGGTCCTGGCACCCAGGGCTGGTGTGAATTGCACTGATAGTTCAGTCCTTGCAGACTCAACTCAGGAACAATGCAAAGGAAAGTTATCAGAAACAACACAAAGTGAGCATAATTAGCAAACTATGTGATGGTGACCTGCAGAGCATCCAGAATCAAGGAAGCAGTCTTAAAACTGGGAAAAGAATGGGTGAAATGGGCTCCAGAAGAGCTGATTTAAAAAGCAGCTTATTCTGCTGGGCTCCCCCCAGCAGAGTGAGAGCTGATCACCAGGTCATGACTCTGCAGTCCACCCTTCATCATATGGCAGCGCCCTCTCTCCCCAAAAAAGACACACACAGAGAGATGGGTGGAGAGCAAACTAAAGACATCCTTTTTAAAACAGAACCTTTAAAAGTTCGAGAAGCATTCATTTCCCATACTGACAAAGTAAGATAGGAATTTCTTCTCACACTGTGCGAACGATGCTGTGAAGCGGTACCCCCGTATTTCCCGTGTAATTAAGAATTGCTGTTGCTGCTTAGTCACTAAATCCTGTCTGACTCTTTTATGACCCGTGGACTATAGCCGCCAGGCTCCTCTGTCCATGGGATTCTTCAGGCAGGAATACTAGAGTGGATTGCCATGGACTCCTCCAGGGATCTTCTCTACCCAGAGATCAAACCTGAGTTTCCTGCACTGGCAGGTGGATTTTTTCCCATAAGCCACCTGGGAAGCCTCAAATCCATTTCAAAGTGCACAAACCAGTACAATGGCTCTGAACTGTATTTCTGCAGCTGTACTTAGTCAAGCACAAAGGTATTCATGAAAGTGAAAGTGAGTGTCGCTCAGTCGTGTCCGACTCTTTCAACCCCATGGACATACAGTCCATGGAATTCTGCAGGCCAGAATACTGGAGTGGGCAGCCTTTCCCTTCTCCAGGGGATCTTCCCAACCCAGGGATCAAACCCAGATCTCCCGCATTGCAGGCGGATTCTTTACCAGCTGAGCCACAAGGAAACCCAAGAATCCTGCAGTGGGTAGTCTATCCCTTCTCCAAGGGATCTTCCCGACCTAGGAATCAAACCAGGGTATCCTGCATTGCAGGCAGATTCTTGACCAACTGAGCAACTAGGGAAGTCCATTGGTCTGTTTCATCTTTCTAGAGAAGGGATAGGCAACCCCCTCCAGGATTCTTGGGCTTCCCTTGTGGCTCAGCTGGTAAAGAACCCGCGTGCAATGTGGGAGACCCGGGCTCGACCCTGGGTTGGGAAGATCCACTGGAGAAGGGAACGGCTGCCCACTGCAGCATTCTGCCCTGGAGAAATCCATGGACTGCATAGTCCATGGGTCTCAGAGTCGGACACGACTGAATGACTTTAACTTTCACTAAGGTGACAGAAAGGCTTGTTTTAAAGCCTCTCTGGTGATAAAGTAATCTCAAGGCATTACCCCTAGGCTGCTCACTCGTGGCCTGGAGACGGGTCGCCAGGCGAAGCGCTCACCCCCGGCCCCCACCTTCCTCACAGGCAGGTGCACTCCGAGGCGCCGGGGCTGCCCCGCCTCTCCCGGGCCGTGCGGCTCCCACGCTCATCGCCGCGCGCTGCGCACGGTCCACTCTGGACCCCCGCCCTCTCCTTGCTGGCCCCATGTGCTCCCCCCTTCGCGGTTTCCTCCCTCCTTTAGGGAAGTGAAGGGTCCTAGGATGTTCTGAAAGAACACACACATCCTTACTTCTGGAATCAGTGGGCACGTCTTTATTCCAGCCTCCCTTGCAATGCATGGCGTGGCAGTGTCCGGAGTGGTCCGCAGCTCACTGTGCCTCTGGACTGGACCTCAGAGGCGCTGCCTTGTGGCTTCCCAGCCTGAAGTCTGGGGACACAGCACCCCAGTCCCTGCCCCTGCCCCCTCTCCAGTAGGTGGAAGTGCATGACCTCTGACCTCTGTCCCTGATAGTCTCAATGTCACATCACTGTGTCTGTCCCCAGATGGGCCGGCTTTATTCATTTGGCTGCTCACTTGTGGGCCCTTTCAACCTGGCTTCCCTCATGGCACAGACGGTAGAGAATCTGCCTGCAACACGGGAGACCTGGGTTCGATCTCTGGGTCAGGAAGATCCCTTGGAGAAGCACATGACAACCCCCTCAAGTATTCTTGCCCGGAGAATGCTCTGTCCATGAGAGAGGAGCCTGGCAAGGTGCAGTCCATGGGGTCCCAAGGAGTCAGAATCGAATGGACTAACCCCTGCCTTCTTCAGCCTGGCAACTCAAGAACCTTCCCTTCCCCTCTGGGGACTTGTAAGGCTCTTGTCACCCCTGTGGACTGGCTCTTCTTTTCTGCACCTCCTCCCGGCACGCGCAGAAGCTGTTATCTGCAGGGCACTTGGGAAGGCTTGGCTGCCTGCTGCGGGCAGAGAACTCTGCTCTCATCTGCCCTCCTCTCCTGCATTTTCCATCTCCATGGCGTTTTCTTCATTTTCTGGAAGACCCAGTTGACTTTCTCTTCCAATTTTTCTGCTGCTTTTCTCCAACCTAAGCCATTATATCCCTAATTGCTAAAGACTCCCTGTCCTCTCCTGCTCTTTCCTGCCCTCTGCTCCAGTTCCCTGGAGAATGTCAATATAGTCTGCTGTGTTGTCTTCTGCTCCTTGAAACGTCTCTTCTCCTGGGTTTTTGGTTGCTGTGGTTGGTATTTATAATATTTGGATCTCTTTCATACACAGGCTTCCCACAAATGCCTGACAATTCTGGGATGTTCGTTATATTAAGAAGAAAACACATAACAGGGTTGGAAATTGTTTACATGGCAGGATGTGAGTGATCTAGGGGAGAGCAGGTTTTTTTTTTTTTTTTTTTTTGCTACAGAACCAGCAAATGGAGGAGCCTCCTGGTCTGGCGGCAGGCAGGGTAGAGTGTGGGTGGTCCCACGGGATCT